AGTTCCCAGTGTTTCCGTACGCTGCACCCCCAGACCCGTGGCCATGCCGGACCTGTTTATCCTCGAAATCTCCTCTTTGACCCTACCGTGCTCTTCCATAACCTTGATTAACTTTCTCTGACCCTCACACAGATCTTCTTGCGCGCCCGTATACATCGCATGCATTCTGTCCAGCAGCGTTTTCACCTCATTGGCCTTCCTGACTCCCATGGCCGACCCAGCGCAGACATTCAGAACTGCTTCCATAACAGTCACGAAGCCGCCGGTCTCCTGGGTCGGAGGGAGATTGATGTTGGACGAAATATCGGAGTTGTTGTCGATAGTCATTCGATTGACGAGAACCGAAAACAGTCACTAAGAACCGAAAACAGTCACTGGAACCGAAAACAGTCACTAAAAATGTATTCGAGGGAATGTATTCGTAACTCCATGCTCAGAGAAGTCATGGTCTCACAGATAAAATACCCCGTAACATTCGCGGACTTTTCGATGGCTGAGGTGACAAGCTCGATGTTGAACGGAATCAGGGCATCATTTCCTGCCTTGTTTGCCTCTCGTGCGGGCAAATCCGATAGTACAAAGACCATGAACTATGCAGTAATTAGTAGATACTGTCTACGGCATCTCAGGCGATATGTACGAAAAATGTTATGCTGCATATATGTCAATGCAATGCGCGTCAATCTTCCCCATGTGCACAGTCCCGCAGGTGGATGAGCGAGTGAGTCGTATGTGACGCTCCTGTACCAGGCTTCCGACTCGCTCGTCCCTGTTGTCGGGAAAGTCCCGCTATGTAACACACTATGTCATAATGTCTTAGCACAGTGTCCTGGCTTCAAGTACAGACTGTTCTTCTCCGCATTTTGTACTTTCCATTTTCAGCCTGAACGATGTTGCTGGACCCTGTGACTTGTCTTCGGCACCTCCAATGTGTGCCATGGCACTTTTCTCTCGATTGGACGATATGCCCCCGCAATATTCCACTTTTGATGAATACGACCCCTTCTTGGAGGAGTGCCCTCCTTTCGACCCAACCCTAGTTTTTGCAGGTGACCACTCACTTATAGAGGCTATTAAAAAAATCGGACGAGCATGAGCTAATACAAACTATTCACGACTATGAGGTGTCCCTCACAGAATTTCTGGGCTGAGTTTTGCTCTGGAAACCCTGTTTCTAATAGATAGTTTCGCCAGGCTATCCTGCCAATGATTCTGCTCATCAATCTGATCCTTTTGATAACTCCCCAGCAGTTCGCATGGTTCAGAATATCAAAGAAACCTCAATGGGCTATCTACTATCCCCGAAATGTCGGG